TTTTCTCAGTCCCATTTTAAAACAGTGGCACTATGCAGTATTTGTCCTTCTGTGACCGAGATATTTCACTCAGCATAATGTCCTCCAGGGTCACCCATTTTGAATAATATTGCATGAGTTCCTTGTTTTTCAATGTAGCATAGTATTCCCTTGTGTGAATATACCACAGCTTCTCTATCCATTCCTTTGTTGATAGGCACTTAGGTTGTTTCCAACTCCTTGCTATTATGAACAAAGCTGTGATAAACACGGGTGTGCATTCAGGTGGTAATGTTTTATACAAACCTTTCCAAAATAGCCTGGATGGTCTTTGTCGAAGTTGATCCTGTGGTGATGCAGCCACGCGCGTTATCTCAGTGTCTGTGGTGCTTCCTGTGCTTCCTGCTGTGGCTGTGGCCATGGCTCACATAGATCCGAAGTTTCTGGATCATCCTCAGTCTTGATGGCATTTCAGGTGCCTACATGATAAAGAGCAATTATGTTCTTTTTTAAAAAATTTTTGTCTGTGTGTACCGTCAAATCAGATCTGGTGGATTCAAACTGCTCACCTCTGGGATTGCAGGGCAGCCTCTTGCCACTAGGCCACCAGAGCTCTCCCATTATGTTCTTTTAAAAGCTATCTATATAGGATCAAATTGACAACAATGCAAATGAAAGATTAAATTGGTATGTCTTTTGCTGTATATATTCTCAACAATAAAATTAGTTTTAAATAAAAAACAGCACAGCCTTGGAAACCTTACAGGGCAGTTCTACCCTGTCCTGCAGTGTTGCTAGGATCAGAAGTTATTTGATGGCAATAGGGTTGGTTAGATCCTCTAGATGAAGGAATTTTGGTGGTGCAGTGGTTAAGGAATCGACTGCTAATGAAAGGTGAAAGTTCGAAGCCACTCTTTGCCTCGGTGGGTGAAAGACTTGATAATCTATTTCTTTACAGAACACAAACAAGAAAACTCCGCAGGGTAGTTCTGCACTGTCACATGGGGTCATTATGAGTCAGAATGAAGTTGACCACATTCAACAGTGATCTTCTGTATGGACTTCCTGAATGGCTTGAAAGGCTATATACGCTTACCATCTTCTACAAACCCTTTCCTTCTTCAGCCCTTTCCTTTGGGTAACTCATATATATGTGTATTTTTTTATAGGAGTGGATCTAGGGGGGAAAATACACACACACACACACACACACACACACACACACACACATAATTTGAAAAGCTGGACGATATGAAGAATGTGGCATGAGGATCGGGGGAAGACTCATCAACAACTTGAGTCATGCAGATGATACAACTTTGCTTATGGAAAGTAAAGAAGACTTGAGAAAGAGTGACACTCAAAGACTAACCTTCAGAAGCCTGCACAGTGGAGTAAACTTGGGGGGAGGGACTGCATAACAATGAAAGAGTTTTTCTTTCACTTTTCAAGGAGAAGAGTGAATTGGAGGAC